GCGTACCCTGACTCTTTCCTTAAGACCGTTAAAGAGAGCCACAATTCCCCCCCTTGCTCTGAACAAAAGGTTGGAAAAATTCCCATCTCTTACAGCCTTGTTCAATCCATCATCTTTAACTGGTAATTATTTGGCAAAGCTCCACACCTACAAAGACGTGGCAATCCATTTAATCTGTCTGGTCAGGCGAGTGTAGCGTGCAGGGGACACGGCAGACAAGTTGGAGAAGAGGTCTGGTCAGAGGACACCAAAGTTTCCATTTTGGCCTACATCAGTGTTGAATAACCCTAGCATTCATTTTACTTATCTCTTTTTTTGTTTTTTCTGCAAAACCTACAGAGTTTGCATCCAGAAAATCCGGGAATAAATCCATCAATCTCAGGGGAAATATTCAGTAAAAGATGCAAACTGCTTTCTGCGTCTTAACACATGTTCAGCTAGAGGGTTAAGGTTTCATCGAAGCCTTTTCAAAGTATTTTAATCTTTAATGTTGAACTATTTTTTTCCAGCAGTTGTGACCTAAGATACAGATTATTCTGAATAATCTTTGCTCATTCACCTTGTTTGAATGAAGCAGACCCATTTGGAATCAATTTTGTTCCATAATGTTACAAGCAAAGAAAACATTTTGTAAATGCAACCCAGAAATTAAAATCTAAAAGAGTAACTTTGCTTTTCTTTCAGAATTTGTTTTTAAAATCACATTTATTTTTGATACATTGCTATCATATTTATCAATCTGTTTATGTGACTATTTTTGTGTTTTGTCTTTACAGATTTCATATTTCCAAATTATATTTTTAAAAAAGCATTTTTTTCAAAAAAGATTTAAAATTTTCAAATATTTTACAAATTGTAATATTTTCACACATCAGATTCTCTTCACTTCTGGGGGTGAGCTTTCCTCAGGAATGAGGAGATTTTGATTGGTCTGTAAGGATGTTAGCAAACACATTTTCATTGGTGAATGTGTGCATCAAGAACGAGTGTTTGTATTGGGCTTGAAGTAAAGAGAATGTGATCTGTGAAACGTAATTTGAAAAGACTTTAATTTGTAAAACTCAATCTGAGAAACAAAGAGAAACAAAAAAATATGCACATTAGGGCTGTCAGCGTTGCATTAATTGTGATTAATAAAAAATAATCCATGACAGTGTCTTTAAAAAAAAAAAAAAATCACATTTCAAACGTGTCCCGTTGTTTAACCCGTATTCATACCCCTTTGGTAATTTTGGGAAGCAATGAAATGTGATGAACTAAAAAAGTATGACCTGAGTTTTATACATCATGTTTAAGTTTGAGAAGAAAAAAAAAAAACAGCTCCATGACAGCCGGTTAAAATCCAGAAGCTGAAAAAGTACCAGTGATCATCGCAAACCCCCACCCCCGTACAGGGGAACAGAACATCTCGCCTCTTGAGCTAGGCCAACAATTCCCTCTAACGACCCCCCTTTCAGAGACATAGACAGGTTTGGGGAATTACAGGCTAACAAAGAACCCAAGCGACTGGCCATTCCTAAGGGGCGGACCCGTACGTCCGGTTCAATTTGTATGTTATCTATGCCAAAACAAGGCTTTGTTTTTGGTCCACTCCCTAACACTTCGAACTCAACGCTAATTCTGAGATTTTGAATTGAAAACGCTTCCTGGATGGGAAGCCAAACATCTTAAAACTTGGAAACAAAGTCCAGTGGATTGTTTTTTTTTTTTTTTTTTTTACTTACTTTTTTGGAATGACTATGACCTGAATGGTTGAGAATCTTCACCAGCATATCAGAGATAAATGGAGAAAACTTTTATTATGGAGACTGAGGTACGCCTTTTATTTGTAGTTCTCACCTTTTTATCTATATAGTTTCCATGAACAGCTATTGGTAAATAACAGTGTCTATAATGAAGCATGGAGTATGTTTTATGTAAAACATGGACTCCTCTAGTTTCATGCACATTAGAGTTCCATTGTGCTTTGATACTGACCCAAATGGGATCAAAGTTGCAGGGGTAAAAATACATGAAAAAAGAACACCCTAATTTATCCCCTTATATTATTAATTTTTTAAGCAGCTTAGGAGAGTGGCCTGATATCCTATTTAATCTCTCAAAATAAGGACAGTGTTACTTTAAATCCTGGTAATATTTGGAAGTTGGTCTGAACCAGGGGTCACCAACAATTCCAAGGCTGTGGGCTACTTCATGGCTATCGAATCATAGGAAGGGCTACCAATACTGACCTATGAACAAGAGGGGTCAGCGTTCACCTAAACTTCATCCAAATTAAACACATTTTTATTGTTAACTTTTAATTTCTAATTTTACTTTAAACATTATAATTTTAAAATCTCTATAAATGCTAAAATGCCCTATATGATTACTATGATGAAATGCTCTATAAATGCTTAAAAAGAAGAGTCACAGAATAAAATAAAATTTCAAACTTAGCCCACTGCTGAGTTGCTGTTTTCCCCCTTGAGGGCCCCTTGGTGCCCGCGGGCACCGCGTTGGCGACCCCTGGTCTGAACCATTTTCAAAATTAAAAATTGCAAATAGTAAATTGCATGTGTTCACTTGATTCCCATTGAGGCTAGGGTTAAATATTCTACATTATGAGCTTAGAACTGCCTTGATATGGGCATTAGGCATGCTATTAAACCGCAAGTAATCACAGTTAACTATAGAGCTTCTCCGATTAATTGCAATTAAGAAAATAAAAATTATATATATATACATAAAAACTTTTTTTTTTTATCGGATAAAACATAAAATTTACTTTTTAAATGTATTTCTGGCTTGCATTTTTTTCCATTTCTATTTACAAAACATGCTCCTAGCTTGTAACAATAATGGGACAAAATAGACTCCATAGACCTACTGTAGTAAATCACAAATTTTCAAGTTTATGTCACAAATTTTCGAGTTGTCATGCAGAAGACGGGATTACTCAGATTGTGAGGGTAAAATCTTCTCTCACACTTCACAACCAGAATGCACTCTAAAATCCGGACATACTTGATATTATGGTTCAAGTGTAAAGCAAAAACTAGCACAGAATTTCTAAACTGCAGCATAAAATATCTCAGTGGCATCAGCATTATTTAGAAGGGAGGGAGTAATTTTCCTTAACATGATCAGAGACGCTTATTTAAGTGAAATTGAAGATTCATGTTTGTAAAACGGCAGTTACTTAAGAAAAGCTGTAAGACTGAGACAGTTGCAGAGGTTCAGCTTCCAGCAGGACATCATACGTCCAGAACTACAAAAGGATCAATGCATTGTTATAAGACAAAAAAAACAACATCTGTTTTTATGAGGAATGATATCTGTAATTAAGAACGTTTACACAGATGTCTAAATGTAAGATATTTTTTTGTTGTTGTCAACACACACACACAAATACATGTGACATTAGATGTTTTATCTGTGAGAATACAAGTGTAGAGAAGGTGAATACACTTTATAAAGATTTAAGGCTAGAAATCACACATTTTTCAAGCACAAAACCCACATTTAAGAGCATAATTCAGATAGCTAGGTAAAAAAGTAAAGGTAAAAATCACAAGTTTCAAATACCAATCAAAAATGTTTTTTGAGTAAGAAACAGAAAATTTTGGTCACTAATCACAAAATTTAGGACAGATCCCAACTTTACAGTATAAGTAACATATTATTTAGTATATTTTATTTACGCATCACAAAGTTTAAAAAAAAGTAGAGTATAACTCACAAATTTTGGAGCACCAATCGCAACAGGCCACTCTTTTGATTCATACTCAGATAATTTTGATTTGTACTCGAATAATTGACAAATTGTTACTTCCAGACTAGTATTCTCACAGATGAAACATCTAATGTGCCATAGGATTGGTGTGTATTGGGCAGAGTTAAATTGCATATCGGGCAGAGTTAAATTACCTGTAGATAATGGGAAAGGTTTTGCAGTTCTATCGTAGTAGAACAAAAGGCAAGGTTCTGGGGAATTGTCAACTGCCCAAGGAGAAATTTTTGATCAAATGCTAACAGCTTTAAATATAATTAGAAATCAAATACTGGAAAATTAGGTCAAACAAAGTCCTCTTCTTCTCCATAAAAAAAAAAAAATCATCAAATAAATAAATGTAATCTAACAAAAATTTTTTTAGATTACATTTTTAGATTAATTTTTTTTTCTTTCCTACTTGCATTGATTCTGTTTTATCTTCCTGTATTTTAATCATGTAAAGCACTTTGCATGGTCTTTGTACTGAATTGTGCTATACAAATAAATTTGCCTTGCCTTGCCTTGCCTTGCCTTATATATTAGTTAACAACAAGGAACAAATTCAACTCTTAATTTGACACGTTTATTGACTTACATTAATAAATTCAGACTCCTAAAGAAACGATCTTTATGACAGTTATCTTAGTCCATTTATTTCCCAATAATAGTTGAAAATCCATGCTCGACTTGGACTAAAATTGCAGATTTCCATCAAAACACGTGCAGCTCTAACTGGAACAAAAGGTGGTTCTACATTCTAATAGACTAATAAGACTAATAAGTCTTGGAGAAGGAATACGATACACTTCAAAAGTTTAAATCCCAAAATAAATGATAAAAAAACAAGAAAACAGAAAGGAAATATGTATTATTTTCCTTTTCTCTCACAAGTATGCAAAACTGTTTTGTTAATCTACTACTAATAAGAGTTTTTGAGTATAGTAGGAATGAATACAAGAAAGTCCAAAGGGTGTGAATACTTTCTCAAGGCTAATGTACTTTACATGCCTCTTTCTCTGAAATGGCAGCTTTCTTAACTTTGTCAGATTAAAAGGGGGAGAATGAATGCAAAGAAATGAGGTTAGCTTTCCTTCTAATCAGGTTAGTGGGCAGGGGAAAGGAGGGACAGGTTGAGAGAGAGACCAGCTGTTGGTCCAGGGAAGAAGACGGTACAGTAAGGTGAGACTGTGAGAGGAACTTGGCAAACCATTTAAAGCAAAATAGAATGAATAATAATATTCCATACCTATAAATTCATTTTTGAGAAGCTCTGCCAGCACAGAAAGTTGTCGTGGTAAAAAGAAAGAGACACATGGTCAGGTGTAAAGTCTACTTTAAAGCAGATACAAAGATTTTCTCGAGCCGCCAGCTGTTGGGACTGACGTTTGTACCGTATTAGTAACGGACAGACAACGCAGACAGCTTCGGCCCATTTGACCCCCCGCCCCACCCCCACCCCAGGAAAAAAATGATGTTGGGGGGGAGGGGGAGGGGGGGGGTAGAAAGCAAACAGAAGTGAGAAGCAAAGGGAGAAAAATTAACCAAAGGCTAAAGGAAAGACGACAGCAGCAAGCGGGAAGAGGGCATGCAGACACAGAGGAAAAAAGACGGAAAAAACGACAGCAAGACAAGAAGCCACATCACTTACTGCTATATTTAATAGACCTCATTTCTGGAGTAAACGACATTGGACAGGATTGCAAAACAAATGAAAAAAAAAAAAAAGAAGACGGAAAGGAAGAACAAGAAAACAAAAGATAAAAAGCAGTGAGTTATTCTCCAACATAAAAACACACTACAGTTAATGAGGCTGACACAGCAAATGGGGGTGAGTGCTGTGACTCGTTTGACTAATGGCAGTTGTGTTGCCTTCGTATTGATTACAGCATACCTCTCGTATAGCTCTTTGGTCCCGCTACTGCTGCTTACAGCTATTATAACCCTCCAAATAATTTACAGGGAAATCATCCCAGCATTCCCAATTTTTACGGCACCGAATGCATTACTGGCCTTAATTAGAGAGAGAAAAATTCAGCCAATCTAATGGCCGGCCTGCCTAAACTGAAAGTGAATCTCCTCCAACACAGTGAAAATAAAAAAGCACATGGTCGCACGGACAGACTTTTAAGATGTAGACACGGCTTGGTGACTGGATGCGAAACACAGATTCCATCAAATCTGACATTTTAAGATGTAAAACTAGTTAAAAATCGTTGCTCTAGTTTCAGTTTAAAAGCTTTTCTATAACATCAAACCAAGGCAGTATGGCGTGGAGCTTCTGGAAACATGCCTGGGATTGTTTGGACAGCAATGTAAAAGTGGCCAGAATTTATAACGATTAAACCATGTGATTTCAGTCGACACCTGATGTGTTTCAACATCGCTGTCCATGCAATCGCAAGAGAGCAACAAAGCACACCCCATTTGCATCGCTGGTTTTTAAAGGAGTAGTCCAACATTTTAGGAAATCCACATTTTCACATCCCTCTCTAGAGTCCATACTAGGCTGCGTGAAGCTGAAACAGGATGAGCTGATGCACTGAACTAGTTGTCCTTCCTTGGCAGAGATGATGAAGTGTCTAAACATCATTTTCATCCCATTAAGTATCACTCATCTTGAACAACCATGTCGTGCACTGAGTGTATGTGTTTTGGGATAAAGGGTAAATATATTTAGGAAATCTGTCTTACTTTTACAGCTACATGAAGCATTCAGTAAGCTTAGATCAGTGAATCTTCGTTGCTGCAGACTGAGCGTCTGCATGGCACAGAAACAGGTCAGGTGACGTCGTTCTCGGGTCATTGTCATAACATTTGAGCCAGATAACGTATACTTTTTTTTTCAGGGACGGGTTTTTAACTCATTGAATTTGATTAGTTAGTCAGAAACATTTCAAAACAAAACAAAAAATTATTATATACTAAAATACCAAGCAGGAACCTTTATATTCTCTGCTTCTTGTAAAGATTGACGCAAAAGCAAGGTCACAGGTGTCCACTGGGGATTATTAAGCTTAAAGCCATGGCCGTTTCTCAATATGTGTACTTTTCCGTTTTCATGGGAAACGTCATCAGCCTCAGCCCTAGTACTGTTCCAATTCACAAGAACAAGCAGACCGAGAACAGACAAAATCCCCGGATGTTGTTCTCGCTCCTCCCTATTTAGTGAAAATGCTTTAGAACAGACTTGTACGTTCTTGAGATTGACAGCTGTCCCAGCATGCACTGCGGCAGCAGTAGCTTTCAGGGGTGCGCTCACAGAGCTCAGAGTATTAAGGTAAAAGTTGTTCAATAAAAGTACGTTTTAAGATAATTTGAGGCGAGAATATCATACTTTAAAGTGTCACTATATGGCACATTTACTGATTTAGTGCGAAATAAACAAAAAATTTCAAAAGTTGAAAGGACCTCAGCATAGCCATGTGTGGAGGACCTCTGGCTCTGATGGCGATATTTTAGTTTTATTTGGCAAAATGCTCATTTGATTTGTGTTTATCTGACTGTGTTAATTATTATTCCCCAATAAATGAAAAAAGTAAGAAATGTATTATTATCCAGAGACTATTACCGGTAATTACATGAGGTAAAATGCAGTTCCAGACGAGCAGAGAGTTTGGTGACATCACAAGTATGCTTCCATTCCAATTGACCCATATTTATGCAGCGTGCTCCTGTTCTCCCAGGGGCCAGTATTTACTGTGTTCCTCTGAAGAATATACTTGGCGAGGACAAAATTCCATACTCGCGTTCAAGTGAATTGAGAAAGGGTGCATGGCTGTTTCTTAATGTCTGCCCTAACCCCTAAATCCCTCAATCACTATATAAGGATTATAGGACTGTTCACACTTCTGTAGAAGTAGTTTTTCTACAAAGTTGCATAAATTATCAGGGGTTTCTAAAAGAAGCTAAAATATTCTAATTTAGTTGAATAACCTAAATTGAGGGATAAAAGTATAAATATATGTATATGTGCTCATATAATTATTCATTCAATAACTGAGGAGAAAAACTGTTTGTTTTTTTTATTGATAATTTGGTTAAAGCTGCAGTCTGTAACATTGAGAAGAGAGCAGACTTCGACTGAAAATTTGAAGAAAAACAGGTTTCACGCCACTCCCCCACCCTCTCTGCTTCACTTATGCCCCACCTCCAAGCTCCACCCCTCCCACAGCATCTGCGCGGCTATGGAGAGATATTTGTGCCATCGGTTTGAGCGCGCAGGAACCAATCCGAGCGCGCAGTGAGACAACACGCGCGCGCGCAAAACCGGTCTGGCGCGCGCTCAACTCTGAAAAACCCTCTCAACACACTGTTCTCGCGCTCAGTTTCATCTCTGCGCGTGCTCGAATCCGTCTCTGCTCGCGCTCGCTCGACCTGCTCTCTCTCCGCGCTCAACACCAGCTGTGCGCTCGGCTGTTTCTCCGCTCGCTCGACTCTCTGCGCTCGCAACTTCAGCAATGAATGTATGTAACTGAACCATACCATCAGCCAATCACACCCAGCTTCTTTTCATCCAATGAAAGCATTCCTTCCTTCTTCTTCTTCTTTTCTATCATGGCGGATCGCAAGCAACTTTAAGGTGTATACCGCCACCTACTGTTCATGAGTGTGTAGCAACATTGTTTTACATCTATTAAATTCTATTTTTTAATTTTGTATTCTGCAGATAACTAAATAATGCTTTCCTTAATCTATAAACATCCTTTATATTTCCTTTATTTCCCAATAATCCTTTAAGACTCCATTCTTGGCCTGTCATTTCAACTACTCTTCTCAATTTTTCCCTTTCAGGTTCATATGTTTTACAGTTCATTAATATGTAAGCATTCGTTCCAAATACTACATCCGGTTAAATGAAATAAATAAAATAAAATAAATAAAAACACAATCAGGAAAATCAAACAACTCTTACAGTTTCCTAACCATTTGATGGACAGAAGATATTACTATAAAATATCTTGAATTATCTCAAATAAACTTCAGTAAAACAGTTATTAGATCATTGCCTCATCTCTTTTACCTGCTATTGACATGGATTTAAATTTGATGTTTTAAAAGAAAAATAAGGAGGATATTTCAGGTTCCAGTATGGTTCAACAATATATAGATAAAAAATATTATGGATATGTTAAATTTTTTATGGATGCTTCAAAAATATTCCAATATTAGGAATGGTGTTTTGTTTTAGTTTCAGAATTTATTTTTAAATCGGGTAAAAGAATCAGTGATGGAATTCAGCCTACAAAGGAGAAATGTTTTGGATCATATTGGCCTTACAATGGATTGAAGAAATCGTTCCATTAAGAAGTTTAGTTTGCTCTGATTTTAGATCAGCGACCGTTATATTAATTTAAACGCAATTATTCAGACAGCAGACCTGATCTGAAATTTAACAATTATTATTTAGAAGACCTTTTACAGATGGACTCAAAATAAGAGGGTTATTCTTTATTATATATATTAAGAAGAATAATTTGATAAACAGGATTTTTCAGTTGGTGGCGGTAATTGTTGTTTGCCAACCTCCATAAAAAACAACAAAAAGAAGAAACACCCGCCACAAAAGCTAAGAGTAAGGCCAATATGATCCAAAACATTATCTATATACTGTTGAACCATACTTGAACCTGAAATATCCTCCTTATTTTTCTTTTAAAACAGCAACTTTAAATCCATGTCAATAGCAGGTAAAAGAGATGAGGCAATGATCTAATAACTGTTTTACTGAAGTTTATTTGAGATAATTCAAGATATTTTATAGTACTATCTTAGGAATGTTGACAAAATAACTGTAAGAGTTTTTGATTTTCCTGATTGTGTTTTTATTTATTTATTTATTTATTTTTTCATTTAACCGGATGTAGTATTTGGAACGAATGCTTACATATTAATGAACTGTAAAACATATGAACCTGAAAGGGAAAAATTGAGAAGAGTAGTTGAAATGACAGGCCAAGAATGGAGTCTTAAAGGATTATTGGGAAATAAAGGAAATATAAAGGATATTTATAGATTAAGGAAAGCATTATTTAGTTATCTTCAGAATGCAAAATTAAAAAATAGAATTTAATAGATGTAAAACAATGTTGCTATACACTCATGAACAGTAGGTGGCGGTATCCACCTTAAAGTTGCTTGCGATCCGCCATGATAGAAAAGAAGAAGAAGAAGGAAGGAATGCTTTCATTGGATGAAAAGAAGCTGGGTGTGATTGGCTGATGGTATGGTTCATTTACATACATTGCTGAAGTTGCGAGCGCAGAGAGTCGAGCGAGCGGAGAAACAGCCGAGCGCACAGCTGGTGTTGAGCGCGGAGAGAGAGCAGGTCGAGCGAGCGCGAGCAGAGACGGATTCGAGCACGCGCAGAGATGAAACTGAGCGCGAGAACAGTGTGTTGAGAGGGTTTTTCAGAGTTGAGCGCGCGCCAGACCGGTTTTGCGCGCGCGCGTGTTGTCTCACTGCGCGCTCGGATTGGTTCCTGCGCGCTCAAACCGATGGCACAAATATCTCTCCATAATATCTCTCCATACGCGGCTACCGCATGCGACCAGAAGGGGGGGGCGGGATTCAGCGTGTGTGAGCTGTGATTGACACTCCATCAGACGCTCCTCTGGCTGTGATTGGTTGTTTTGACTCGTCCCGAATTATTCTTTCCAGATTGAAATACAGGCAGTAGGCGGTACCAATTGAAGCAGTTTTTTTCACAGGTTACATATCACATGTACTGCTGGTGGGCATAGGGACAGTTTTAGCCAATATGACAAAAAAGTGATTTTTTAAAACTTACAGACTTCAGCTTTAATGAGGTGGTTATGGCTTTCGCTTGATATGCGACTAATTAATTACAGACCCTGTAGTTAACTTGATTTAAAAAATGTCATTGTGTACCAGTACTAGTTAATTTTAAAAAGTGGAGTCTTAATTACATCTAAATGTAAGTTTGGCTGCCATCTGTTGGTTCCACTCCAAGCATATGCATGCTGAGGTGAGTGTGCCCAGAGCAACTGTTTACCTTTAGCACTGGGTTTTCCCAAAGTGGGGGTCAGGAAATGGGTTTCTCTATCATTGTGATGTGATTGAATAGAAATAAGTAATACGTAAATTTAACTGATCATGAAATAAGCGGATTTATTTCATTTACTACATGATTCAATTATTAAATATAACATTAAACTATGAAATGCATGATTATATAATTAAATATAAATGAGAAATAAGTCAATTCTAACAAATAAATATTATTACATTATGTTGTATCTAAATATAAATACAGACTGAAATATATATATATATATATATATATATATATATATATATATATATATATATATATATATATATATATATATATATATATATAGATATATATATATATATATATATATATATATATATGTGACTTTGTGTCCCACTTGAATATTGCAATAAAAATAAACTGAAATCTCATTTAAAAAAATAAGTTATTAAACTAGGCGGTTAGGTGTAAGTATTTTAAGCTTGGTTTTATTTACTGTTTGACAAATTTCAGCATCGCCATCAGTACATTTTTAAAAATGCATAAAAATTGGGTAATTTGTTCTAATTATTATTATTTTCTATGGTCCATATTTGTGTTACCGTTTTTTCTATAATCTTTTTGCTGTTGTAAACACAAGAATTTAAATTAATGAGTCCAATCTGTAAAAGTGGAACAGAAGAGATTTTATTTTCCAAGTATTTCTTTTTTTTTTCTTTGTCTTCCAAGATTATATGGGGCATTCTGGTTTTAGTGTTAAATGTAAAGGAAAGTGATCTAGAGCTTTGTTAGTGATATGCAATTCTGCCAATAGGTTATAAGCCTGTTGACACTTTAATGTTTAAGGATTTCCCAAAATGTGAAACTACTCATTTAAATGAATGTCACTGTAATTATAAGCCCAAAATGAAAACTCCTAAAGACATTACGAGTCGAATTTAAAGAAATGTACTAGCAGCATTAAGGGACATGCTGTAAGGAGAGAATCTATAAGATGATCCATGGATGCTTGGATGATATTTATGATCAAGATAGCTTTTCCTTTAACAAATTTCCAGCACCTCAACCTACATGAAGATCAGTGCCACAGCGGGGGTGGATACCAGTAGAATGAGTGACGCTTTAGAGGTCTCCTAAGCTGAAGACCTGTGGACGTACTTGTCAGTAGAATTGGATTTGGGGCGTTCTCTTTTTTTCACTTTACTAAATGAAACAAATCTCCTTTTCGCTGAGATAAACCACTCATAAAAACACTGAAAAGATCAAAATCCATCACTATGGTACTTATAAAGCCAAATGTGAACACAGTAAAGTAGTTTTGCTCAGACAGATTGAAGTTCTTCAAATGAATAAGCACCAATGGACCATCTACATAGACATATAATAAGACTCTTCAGTAAAAGCAAAGTAACTTTAGCTTTTATGTCAGCTCTCTGTTGGCTCTTTTTCATGTATAGTAAGCCTCCCAGTCAGCCTGTAAATGAATACTATGCACAATTTACAAGCAGACAAAAAAAAAAAAAAATTTCTGTAAAAAATTAAACTGATCAATTTCCATAACAGTTTATGCTCAAGTATCCAACATATAGCAAATGCAACTTCAAGCATGCGAGTGGGCATGAAACATAAACTTATATTCTAGCATTTCACTGGTAGTTTCAGATTTTCAGAGAACTCAAAGGGAGACCAGGTGGGTTGGATACAAAGTCATGCAAAGACACCCTTACACAGGAAACAGAGAAGCAGCTTAGTAAACACACACTCTATCCAACCCCTCCAAAGTTACATGCAGCATCTCAGTGAGAAGGAGACAAACAAGAGCAAATGGACGTACTGTAGAAACCTGCCATGACGGAGTTTTGACAGCGGTCCCCCGAATAGTCATTGGGACACCTGATGGAGGGAAAACAGGACACAGAGGAAGGAGAGTGGGATGGGGAGGGGTTAGAGACACAGACAGAAGAGAGGCAATAAAACAGGAAGGAGAGGAGGAGGAATGGAGAGAGGAGAGGAGAAAAGGAGGGGAGAGGGTGGGAGACAAAATAGAGCAGAGATGAGGGATTAGAAAAAGCACAATCCACCAAGTACAGAGAAAGAAGAGATGACCTGCGTACTGTGGCATTGCTGACATCAATATGACATCACTGCGATGGCTCAGACATCCGCACTTGGGGGGGTCATGATGATGGCGCATGATGTTGGATGGGTCAAACGTACAGTCGGTAACCTCTGAATTTAATCACACACATGCACACTCACCCCCACAAATGATATAATACAGCATGGCGCCTGTATTAGAAAAACCTCCACTGGTCATACATGTGTGTATGACCATATCTGTAAAATGTATAACTGATAACTGTACTTATTCATAAGTTTGCATTCTCTTTGCAACATATTTTTTATTTCTAGGACAGTACGAATGTTAATGCAAAAAACGCTTTGTTAAAACATGCTTTTATAAGCTCTAAGTTTGACACAGAGACTGCTTTATTACATATCTTAAAAAGTCCTAAGTGTTTAGGAGTAAATTTGAAATATTTACTTTTTATCTCAGATGGTAAAACTCAAAATTCTGGTCAAAAAGCCACCGGTTCTTGCAAGCTCTTGAATTATTCCATCCAATTCTGAAAACTTGCTGTATTAATCATAAACAATGACTTTTGCTCAACCTTTACCTTTAGAAGTAACACATCTCCAAATCATCAGCTCCATGTTTTACATTTGAAGCCTGTTCTTAAAGCCATCTTGACTCCTTTTCCACTGTTAGTGTCGATGGTTATGGACATAAAGTTCAATCTTGGTCTCCTCTCTCTATGTTACACTCCAGAAATCCAATACTCATTCTTGTCCTGTTTGGTGTGATGTAAGCGAGCTGCTTAGTGGCACTGATGTAGTAAAAGCTTCCTTCTGGCAACTTGCCTATGCAGCGTTTTTTCCCCCACCAATGCTTCCTTACTGTGCATATTGAAACTGCCACAATAATTTGTTTGAGAGCTGAAGTTATTTGTAGGTTTTCTTTCCCTCCCAAATTTTCCTGGCAGTTGTGGCTGGAATGTTGTGCTGGTCTCCCTGACTCTGGCTGGGTTTCAGAATAATCCCTCATTTTCTACGTCTTGATTAGCATTTAAACTCAGTCCATTGGACATTATTCAATATTTATTTCCTGTTTTACTAAGTTCTTATAAGCTACCTAGTGCTGTAGTTCCTTTGAGTCTTATTTTGCCTTTCAAGATCGGTTTATTCCAGTAGTTTGTAAAACTTCCAGGGGTCTGTCAGAAGCCCATAAAATTACTCGCTTTCTTAAAAAAAACTATTATTAAAGATTAACAGATCACAATGAAGGTGAAAACCTATACGAGCCATTTAAACACAGGTCTACCACCTTTCTTAGTGTTTTGTGGTTATTGTTTAAATCACTGCTGTTGTTATGAGGATTTTAAAAACAATATGCAAGGCTGCTTGATTAAAAAAGACTTCACTCAACATAATAAGTAAAATAAAGATTTCAGTATTACTTTTATGAGACATGTAGCCTAAAAAGATCAGAAATTCTACCATGGAACAACATACCATGGAAGTGATTACATAGCTTGATTCCATAAATGTTAACATTGGCCTATTAGTGGTGTCAATAAACAGCTTTATCAAAATAGAGTATTGTGACGATTTCTTGGATAATGATGCAAGGTAGCACTGGAGCTAGCTTAACGTACAGATAATGATGTTGATCACTACTTTCATTGTGCATCGATATAAATAAATCATTAATTGCTGAACTGCATAGATATTTATTCATGTCTTATCATACCCCTACAGTATAACCTAGTTGTTTGGTGGACAGAAAAGCTCCTGCAATGGAAGCATGCATGTGTACCAGCTTATTGTGTTTAAACAGTGAGAAACAGGGTGAGCACCCATACTTTTCCAGAGTATACTACAACACAGGGAAACTTGGATGACCCCACATTTATTCAAACTGCCATTACTTGAAAACTTCAGTGGAAGCCAATCACCAAAGAGGGAAAAAAAAAGTTAAGTTATAGGAAATGTGAAGTTTATCAGATTAGAAAAGCAGCTGTTATGTTTGTTTATGTTTAAGTCTTAAAGCTACTTTATTTATAGCAGTACTGCTGTGTAAACATAGGGACCTCTATTTCATCATTCACTCTGCAGAATCTGTAAGTTCAATCTCTAATGTTCTGCTCTCTCTTCTTTTTCTCATAGTAGCTTCATCTGGTCTTTTCCTGTTTGTCTGTGACTCCATCCTGGAGAGAAATATCAGCTGTGCTGCTGCCATCAACACCTTTGTTTATAGATGTTGGAGATCGGCCTGTTTTTCAGTGTAGTCCTGTTTCTCTGACTGTGTATGGCTGGATGTGCTCTCTCCATCCTGACATGGGAGCTGGCTCGGAGCTCGTCTGCCTGGCTGTGTGTTTATCTGGACGGGGTCGCCTTTTACAGCTGCTTTTTGTGTCTCTGCTTCTGTCTCCTTGAACCCCAGTCGGCCTCGGCAGATGGCCGCTCACACTGAGCCTGGTTCTGCTGGAGGTTTCTTGCTGTTAAAAGGGAGTTTTTCCTCTCCACTGTTGCTACAAGCATGCTTAGTGTGAGGGTTTGCATTCAAGTCAATGAGTTGATGCAATCAACTGGTTTTCCTTAGATAGAAAACTTTGAATCAATTTGACTGGATGATCTGGTGAACTGTAAAGTGCCTTGAGATGACATGTGTTGTGAACTGGCACTATAGAAATAAACTGAACTGAAAAAAAAATGTTATTGTCCCACTATGGCGAAATTCCCTCTCTTCATTAAACCATCTCCTTGGGGAGCAGTGGGCTGCCATTGTGGGGCTCCCGGGGAGCAGTGTGGGGTTTAGGGTTTGGCTCAGGAACCCAGAGTGAAGGATGTGGGGATCAAACCGGTATTTGCAACCTTCTCAGAGCACAAGCGCACTGCTCTAATAGGCAGGTATTTTAAAACATACATACAAATATAAGAAAAAATACTCCATCTTTATAAAACCTTTCTTCCACATGGATTTATATGATTATTATATATGATTATTAGTTTGGAGTCTGAGTCACTTTCCTCGGTGTCTGAGCTAAATGACAGAAAAAATGTTTGACTGCAGCTCCTATGTGTTGTACCTTAACGCCATGAAAACATGGATGGAATATTGGAAATTGGTTGTATAAGGATGCTGGACTGGTCAAAACAATGTTTTAAGGCTGTAAGTTGGTACCCCTCATGAGATTCCTAGAACTTCCTGGATCCTCTACAGATCTACCACATAAAACCCTTTTTCACCCACACAAGGCCCTTTTACCCACTGATGATGTTCTTTAAAGAGGGGTTCTGTCATTGCTGGCAAAGGACCAAGTTCTTCAAACTTGGTTTGAAGAACTAAGTTTGGCTTGTTTTCAAAAACCAGGTAGATAAGACCAGACTATCTGTACCTTTCTCTCTGATTTTTGCAGGAAAAGCCTGGAACCTGATCCACATGAGACTCATTTAAAGAAGGTTATCCTTCCACTAGTCAGAGCTAAGAACCAGCTATAAACAGCTTCAGCTTCAACTCTTATGCTTGGTTCACACCAGAAGCATTTTAAGTGTCCAAAACGCTTGGCAGCAATTTGGACGCTGGATCAGATTCTGGATTAAACTGTGGTCAAGTTGCTTTGAGGCTTAAATGCTCTGGATGCTCTGCGCTCTGGTTGTTTATCTGCTCTGCTCTGTTGCTACAAGCAAGAGAGCAGCTTCGCTTTATTTACTTTATGAGTTGGAAACATAGTTTTGACACTTTTTTAAGCGAGAAAGTCCACATCCAAACATCATCTGTGCTGTCAGCTCATCAGGATTATGATCCTACTAAAATATGCAGTTACTGTCCGGAGCACCAGACATCCAGCATATTACAGGCCCGGCCAGCGCTGGAAATCTCCGCTGCAGGCAGGCTGTGGGGGAATTTTCCGCTGCTGTTCGTAGTGGCTGGTAATTAATATAAAGAGTTTTTAGTTCTGTGGTAAAAACTGCAAGTACCAGAATATACAATCGAATATGGTTTGTCAACAGGTTTTAACATTTTTAGACAATTTGGGTATTTATAAACAGTTTCACCATAGTTTATATAAAACATGTTTTAGTGCAGCAATAATGATCAGAGCTTGCCGTGTTTTCCTTGTAGCCTACATAACAATCCATTATTCCAGCTTTTTTTTTTTATCAACCTTTATAGTGTAACCCCAGTTTAGCTCTACAGGTAGTGTCTGTCTTTGCTAAAAAACTCCTGGATCAGCTTTTCTGATTGGTTGATGCTTCGGCGTTCAGCGGCAAAAGTTCTATTTTCTGAACTCCAGTGTTGAACACTCGGATACGTCACTCCCGATGCTTGGGACGCCTTGCTGGACCTCTCAACGCCGTCCCCCATAGACTTTGCATGTAAATCAGATGCTTTGACACTCAGAACGTGCCAGGTGTGAACGCAGCATTAGCCATGCCTCTTAGCTCTCCCTGACTACCTCTCATCTTCCTCAGAATGGAAATAATTGATGGCAAAAGGCCTGGCAGTGAGAGGAAAAGGATTTCCAAACTAAACAATTTGGGTTTTGATCTTTTTTTAGAAACCTCAAGAACATTTTGTGATAATCTTAAGCTGAAGCTATGCAAAAATTAGAGGTATAAACTGACAGAAATGTGATATATTACACCTAAGTAGGTTATTTATTATCATCTACAAACTAAAAGTCTCAATCGTTATGTTTGCATTGACTTAGAAATTGCATCATTTATAATTACATAGGAGCGGGTCTTGCATTTACAGTGGCAGACATCTTTGCACTTAGGCAGCAGAGAGAGGAAAAATTAGTTTGTAGAGATCATCATTATGCTAA